CCAGGAACTGATGGAATATGAATTACCATATTCAAGCAAACAGATGCTGTCCTGAATATGCTCACCAGGTTATGCCAAGAAATCGGGAGCACAACTACTTGGCCAACTGACTGGAAGAGACCTATATTTATTCCCATTCCAAAACAAGTTGAATAACCTTGAGAAGACTTGGGATCCCAGAACACTTAATTGTACTCATGTGAAACCTATACTTGAACTAGGAAGCAGTTGTCAGAACAGAGCAGGGAAACACTGCATGGTTAGGATCCGGAAAGGAGTGCAGCTGTGTGTATTCCAATGAAATTTCAAAGTTTTGCAGTGCAAGTGCTTGTCAAAACATTGCAACTCCAAATGCCAAAATAGATGCATTTAGAGGTTTTATCTGGAAGAAAATAATTTGATGTGCTGAGACTGTAGACCTGATTTTTTCTGTAATTAATAATCATTCATTTAATAAATAGTGCATATCTACTAGGTTAAGGAGTTCTGGTGGCTCTGTGGTAAGGATTTGTGCTGTCACCTCAAACACACAGGGTTTAAAACCACCAATTACTCTGGGATGAAATATGGGAAATCTCCCTTGCAATTTGTTGTTTCTGAAAACACACTGGAGGGTCAGTTATGAGTCAGTTCTGACGCAATGGTGCATGCATAACATCAATAACAACTAGGTTTTTCAGGTCCCTGGATGAAGACGACCATTTACAGTTAGTTGCTAGTATAAATCTTACCAGTTTGAACCTAACCAGTGGCATTGTAGATAAAGATCTGGTAAGTCTTTTACATAAAATATTAGTCAAGAAAAATCATGTGGTTTGCTATACTCTGTACATGTGGGGTTTCCATGAACCAGAATTCATTCAACAGCAATGGAGGGTTCTTTCGGTTTGTTTAAACTCTGAGCTTGTTTGTTACATGAAAAGTACATTTGTTACATGAACTATTATACTCTATTTATTTACAAGTATATTTTCGGAGAAATTTGTATTTGAAGGCAATGTGGTAAAGGAGATACAAGAGACTCAGGAAATTCAGTTCCAGTCTGATACAATCCCTGACATTAACAGCCTCAAAGCATAGTACTTCAGGCTCACAGAAGTGCTATCTGGTCCAAGAACACAATGTCTCCTTTTGTACTCCTGGTTCCTTAAGCATAGGTCTTCTTTGCCTTGAGTGTCTTTCCTTGTATAGGTACCTGGAGGTTTTCATCTTTGAAGGCAAGCTCTACTATACAATCCGAGTTGATAAATGGTATCCTCCACAAAATTTCTTTAAGGCCCTACATCCCAGAATCATGACTGCTTACTTTTGATCTTCCATAGGCTCTAAGCTCAATGTCCACCTCTGCCCCCTTGGCCTTTGTCAGATAAATTCAGGGCTGGTCCAGAAAGGAGGTGCTTGGTAAAAGATAAAAAGTGCTTTTGCCACTAGATGGTGCTGTGCAAGGCTTAGATGTAAAACTATGCTATTTTCGTAAGTTTGCAGCACGGTGCATGCGGCTCTTTTGTGCTAGAAACTTGTAGATTTACTCTTGAGAACTTTGGTTCCACTATCTAAATTGAACTGAGGTAAGTAGTCCAGGAAAGGAAGGAAGTCCAGGTAGGAAGTCCAGGAAACTTCAATGTTTTAAAGGATGCTGAAGTATCAAATGTTGATGAGATAAATGATACTGTTTCACAGAATTTTAGGCTAAAAAGAAATAAGCCTCTAAGACTTGTATTTATTTCTAAGGTAATATTGGCAGCATGATCTTTGCCATGATGTACAGAAAATTTTCAAAGTAGGTCTTAAAGGAGACTCCAGTATTCTACACCAAATGTTAGAGGCAGTCTTTTAAGATTATACAAAATCTGGAGTTTGACCCTTCAAAAAAATCTTTCCACTTTAAGAATTAAATAAACATAAACTTATAATTTTTACAATTTCCACTTAGTAAATTTGTGGAAAAGTAATGATATTATAACCAGTGCACTTTCTAGGAAGGATATAACTTTGTAAAAGCATGGCTTATAGCTAGTAAATGTCCATATTTACAGAAATAAAGGTTTTGGATATTTTTCTTTTAATCAGAACACTATAATGTGGTATAAAAAGCAAACTTCTAACAAAATAACCTGTTTCCTGAGCTGAAGAGATTTATGATTTCAGGGCTTACTTGTATTTAAAACTAAATCTCATTCGACTGACAATCCTGCAGAGTTTTATAACTGATGAACATTCAGCGGAGTAACTTAAGCACTTTAGAAAAGTATAAAGAGAATAGATTTTCACCTTGAAGAATATAACCAATGTCATTGAATTGTGCATGTAGAAACTTAGACTGGCAGCTGTTTTCTTCTATGTATATGTTTCCTCATAATAGAAAGCTTAAAAAAAAAAAAGAAGAAGAGAAGCAAGCAAGATACAGGCAGCACGCTCTGGTTTGCCAATATTGGGAATATAGTGTTCATAACAGGAATGTTTGTAACTATACACATTACACCAAACACTTTGAAACCAGATGAGGTCTTGCTATGGTTGCTTCCTTCAACCCTTCCCGATCTGTCTGGTTGGGGCATGAAGTCTGCAAATTGAATTCACTTTTAATATGTAGTTTTACCAACCACATTTTGTCTCCTGGAACACAATCACATGAACTTGAATACACACAATAAGCCACTACTTCAATTATTTTCCTAGGTTTACAAGTATCCTTACGGGCCTGAAGAATGGGAATCAACTAAAATCTTGGTATAAATGCAAATTAGAGAATTCTCAATTTTTTTTAAAGTGGATAGAGAAAGTACTATGCATAACTTATAAAGTTGCCTTTAGTATTAATTAGAAGAATTTCTAACAAAAATATCCTCAAAGCAAGATGATGTTAGCATAAAATTTCAGTTTATTTCTAAACAGTACTTCATAAAAAATGTTTTAAACTTAAGTATTGGTTTAGTACATTTGTAAATTGTATGCCTTGTTAGACCAAAAGACATAACTTGGAGTATCATCATAATTTTTAATGGACTGAGATTAAATTTATCATTTTTACCTTGGAAAACGCCTTCTCATTTATCCTCAGGCAGACTCAAGTAAAGAAAGTATTAATGTGATGAGTTGCAGTGTTTTGACAAGCACTCATACTGCAAAGCCTTGAAATCTCACTGGAATACAGTTATATATTCACTAGAAGAAAAGAATGGCCTATTTAAAAACTAGGACAGATCATGTTTATGTGGGAAAAATGAAGTAACTATGAGCATCCAAATTTAAAGTCTAATATAGTGGCATCCACTTAAAATCAACAGGAAATGCAATTACTTTTTGAAAGTGCTTCCCCCCCCCCCCGGTCTAAAATCCACAATGCTAAGTGGATTTTAAGGGGTGATGGAAGCTAGATACTATTTGTATTCAGAATGTATTACAACAGCAATGATGGGAAGAAAACAAAAATGATCTACAAAAAGTTCCGAGTTATTAACAGACGGATGAGAAAGACCAGTACACACTGTTGAGGAGTATGAATATTTTTTTAAATGTTTCTCCTTCCATGATGTACCTCCTGAATTTGTATTTCTTGAAATCCCTTGACTACAGCTTTCTATTTCCTTTATGAGCACACTCTAAAGTTTAGTAGTGACTCAAAAGGAAACTTTTTTTCAAAACCACAATGTTTTAACAGCTCCATAGGTCTTCTCAATTGCTCACTATGCATCTGAGAGCTGCACAGTGACTAAGGATGGCAGAAGATGGACAATGCCTTTGAGTTATGAAGCTGGAGAAAGTACTGAACATACTATCAAGAGAACAAGCAAGTCTGGCCTAGAGAGGATGAAACCAGGTATCTCCTCAGAGGCAAGGACTGTGACGTTCCATCTCACATACTTTGGACATGCTACCAAGTGGGACCAGTCATTGGAGAAAGTAATCAGGCTTAGTAGCAGAGGGTCAACAAAGGAGAGGAAGATTCTAGATGAGATGGATTGTCACAGTCACTGTGACAATGTGGACAGGTATGTCAGAGATGGTGAGGTTGGCTCAGGATAGGTCAAGGTTCAGAGCACTTGTGCATAGATTTGCTATGAGTTTTTGACTTGATGGCACATAACAACAGTGCATGTTCTCTGTGTTATTTTTCTGACTGTTAATTGCTTTATTCTAGTTGAATATGATTAACAATGCAAGTATTTCTTCCATTGTATCATTATTATAACACTACTTAAGCTAAAATAGAGAGATGGTATTGAAAATAATATTTTAGATCATATATAATCCTTAGCAAGAGCCACAAAACATCAATGGTGAGTCAGTTATGCTTTGGTGGCAGATAATTCAAATTTCTGGGTCACACATCACAAGTGTCACAGATTTCTTTTTTCCTAAGCTGTTAGTTTAGAGATGCTGTTGGTATTTCTCATCCTACCCCATAATTCTGTGTAAAGGCTGCAGTTGGTTCAGAGTTTTCCTCACAAAGACTTGTGATCATGAAACAATCTTCAATATTTTATAAGCCTAACTAGCAAACTTGTCTATTTCTTGCAAATTAGGAAGTGAGACAATCTTTTGTTTAAGACAGGCCATTGTTTGTTAATTTGAATGCATTTAGTATAAATAAACCAGAGCATACACTTTCACTAAGTTTGTCAAACATCACCCTCTGTCCTTATTGGTGTTCTGCTTTGCCCCCCCACAACCAGAATGTGGAAACACACATTTGAAAATTACTTCTCAGTTCTGAAATAATAAAGATGAATGTGAATTAGAGTGACTGGTAGTCATTCTCCATTGCTAACTAGTCATCCTTGTAGGAAATGTAAACATGCACAGACATGTTCTCCCTAAAAAGAAGCAGGACACACACATAATCACTGCTGCTGCTGCTAAACTTTTCAAACATAGCATCTTTGAAAGCACATTCCTTTACACAGATAAATTTACAGGTTATCATGCATAGTTCCTATGGAAACATTTTTTCATTCTCAAGAACATACAAGCAGATAAAAATGAGATTGTTTTCTTACCTTCTTTAAAGCAGGCAAAAGCTATACTGTTGGTGGGATAGTGTACCAAGTAACAGACTTTTGTACACTCTTTCTTACAGGTGGTACACAGTCTATAGGAAAAGTAAATATACAGGTATATATAAAATGTGCACACAATATTCCTTTTTACTTTCTCCCTTTAGGAGAAGAGGCTGCAATCGAGTAAATACAGATATTCCCATTCTTTGGTATACCAGTTCACCACAATTCAGGTACCTCTCAACAGGAGAGTACTGGTGCCTCTCTGGTAAAAATTGCTGATGGGCTTATTCGCTTGCTTTGCAGTGACTGAGGGAACCATCTCAGTGAAAATTTATCTATTTGGTCAGAATATTCTTTTCTTCCTGTTGTCATCCCTTTTTCTTGGTCTAGTCCAGTGATCCTGGCTATTCCAGAAGATGAAACAAGGAGCAGCATGTTGAACATGTCAGGATCCAGACAAATGAAGAAGCAAAGCAAACAAAAACTTTATAACAAATTAGCACAGTGAAGAAGTGTGGTCCCGAGATTTTTTTAGGCATCATTACTTGTATAGGGTTGAGTACCTGCATCCATTTTCTAGCGGTTTGACTTTTGTTTTAATATATTGTATTTTGTTTGATTTTTTTAAACCCTCCTCATATTGGCAGTTTGAGACTTCCTGTGATTTTGAGGATCACATAGAGATCAGGGAAGGTTTTGTTCTGTTGCACATAGAATCAGTATGAGTTAGGGCTGTCTCAATAGCACTTAACACAACAACTACTTTATGTAATGACTATATTCTCTGAGAACAGCAAACGTTTTGTTATTTTCCTTATGAAAAGGGAAAACTAGTAATAAAAAAACCACATCAGAATACACAAACTTATAGGTTTTAGAGGTAAAATCAGGTGTCAACTGTGACTCCTTTATCAGGTAATTCTCCAATATTGGCTTCACTCTGTCTTTTATGTATGCCTAATCCAGGCTTTATCCAAGACAGGTTCAGATAGTATTCTTACATGCCTACATTCAAGGAAGAGGTAGACTCTAAGCTGCCTAGGTACCACAGACTTGCCTAGATAAACATTAACTGGCCTTGCTAGGTAAGGTGTCTGTCTACACCACTTATGGGACATTGAGTTAGGAAATGGATGTTAGTAGGACTAACAAAAGTAGGTAAGGGTCTGTCAGCATAATGCACTGTGATTCTCTATCAGAAAAAGCATCTCACCAGAGGATAGTTCACAGAGCATTTCTTGGTCCCAAACCACCCAGGTAAGGAGGGCCAGTCTTTCTTTGACTGTCCCAAAGAAAATGTGGCTTCTTGTTGTTAATAATTCATCCACCTTGAAAGCAAAGATGGCAGCCATCAATCAGCTAAGGACCAAGCACAACCAAGCTCTCATGTCTATCTGGAATCAAGCAGTTTGCTGTCAACATACTTCCAAGTCAGTAATGGTAAGTGAAGAGAAATGTGCCAAATTAAGGATGCAGGTAGAAGAGTCAGAGTTTGAAAATATTTTCTCCTTAGAAAGCATCATATTGAAAACATAAAAAAGTATTCAATGGAACTCTGGCTGCCTAGTGTCAAGAAGATGTGCTACAATCCCAAAGGCATGTAGTTCAAATCTACAAGTGGTTCCATGGGAGGATAGGAAATCTCCTTCAATGTAATTTATTGCCTCTGAAAACCCACTGCATTTCATTCCCACTCAATGGCACACAACAACAAACCTATTTCCAACTAGGTGAGGGCTGTCCTGTTGTCCTCAAAACATAACTTCTATTAATGTACATAAAAACTTCAATATTATGTCCTTGTGTTCTTGGAACTTGCTGTATTTCAGTGTGAGTGCAGAAACCAGAAGCATTGATCCAACTGTGAAATTCTAATATATGTCAGTAGTGCACAAATAAATTAAAATTTTGAAATTCACTTTTATTTACTTAATATAAAGGGAGTTTGTCTTTCAAAGAACTGAAATTTATCTAGAGAAGCAATCTGAAAGGAAAACTGAACTTGAGGAGAAAGCAGAAAATATCAGAGCAGTTTTAATGCTTGCCCATATTAAGTTAAGAAGTAAATTTGTTATTATGTAGACATGAAGCCGCAGTGTGGGGTTAGATGAGCACAAGCACACACCAGATAGCAAATCTCAATGATGGGTCAGAATGGTGAAGATGAAGACACCGAAACTAAGTGTTGGAGAACAGTAGTGAGGAAGGGGACATTCTTATTCCACATTAAGTTTGTAGCTCTCATTTGACTTGCAATTCCTTTCAGATATTCTTTCAGAAAAGAATGTATAATTTCTCATTGGAAAGGCATTTTTTTTAAAGGCATTGGCTTTGATTTTGTTTAAAACCAGAGAATTTAGATTAAATCTAGCAAATAATTACCTCATCTCTGTTACCCAACTACAAAATCTGAGCATTATTAGGCCTACATTTTAGGTTAAATACAACATAATAATGTTTCCTATCATCAGAATAGGGAGCTCTGGTGGCCTAGTGTTCTTACCAAACACACATGGTTCTAATCCACCAGCGGCTCTGCAGGAAAAGGCTGGGCAATGTCCTCTGGTGTGATTCACTGCCTCTGAAAACCCACTGGAGGGTCAGCTATGATTTAGTCCCAACCGGACAGCACACACATCACCATCACAATAGTTTTATGTTTTCATTTATCAAAGTTTTTCACTAATTCTTTTTCCCTGTCTAGACCTAAGTTTTTGCAATGCTAGGGACTAGTTTTCCAAATGTAAAGTCTATCACTATTTAAACACTGGAAGCAGGAGTGGCATCCTCTTTTGAAAAGGCTAGCCTCTGGAACCTCTATGAACTTAGAAAAATGATGAAAGTTATACAAGTGTTCAGGTCGTTCATTCATAGGGTCACTATGAGTCATCTACAACTTGATGACACTTAACAACAACAGTTCATTTTAAATGATGTTTGCATACACTTATGTTGCAAATGATGTATTATTTTAAGTAGACCTTATCTCAAATAAGCTTCAATGATAAAATTTTGGGAGTTGCTTCCAATGTGGACTCAGATGAGCTATCCTCAAATGAAATTCTTCCTGTTGAGATAAACTATTTTCTAGAACTGTGTCCTACAATAAAATAGCCACAGGTTGATATTCACAAATGAAGTAAATGATCTAACCTTTTCTCATTTAAATTGCCTTATTTCAAGTGGCTGCTACATTGGACAGCTAAGATATGATATTTCCATTACTAAAAAACAGTCTCTTAAACAAATTTGTGAAAATAATCCTTCAACTTCTCTGATTCCTTGGAGAGTTGGGTCATCAGAAACCCCACTGATTGGAGGTACATGAATCTCTTCCCAGGGCTGAGCAAGTATCTAGCTTAAGTCTTTAGGGTGTTCTAGGACGTTTCTACACAACACCAAATCAGTGAATTCATGTAAATGTGCTTATTACATATACATATATAAACATATGTTATATACACTCAATCATGTGTGATTATATGCATGTACATATGTTTATATCCACTCCTCAATTATCAACACGGTAAGGTTGTTACAGAAAAATGAACATTATGAAAAATGTAAAATGAAATCACAGAATGGTTGGTGATGGTATCACTACTTAACTACCTAAAATAATTTATGCTTGTCTTGAAACTTCATGTTAGTTACTGACAGACATAAGTTTCAATGCATAAAGAGTTAGCTAGCAGATTTTTTATTAATGTAAATTCAAAATGTCAGATAATGAGATGGTAGATAAAACGAGTAATAGGTATATACACACATATATCTTTTAGATTGTTAAGGTAGTCTCTACTGACTTTATTTCTTTCTGAAATATTTTTCATGGCTCTATGTAGATATCAGAGCCAAATAATACTACTATTATATAAGCATTATAATATTAATACTAAAGTTACAATAATACTATTATTAAAATAATTGAGAACCAAAATAATACACAGTGATACTTGTTCAAAGGAAAGGCATCCACTGATTTCCAGATTGAATCATTATTTTGATTGACATAAGTAATAAAACAATTGAATTAGCAATCAAAGGCCTCAACCTAGACAGCTTTCTTTGATCTCATGTCTCTCCTCTCTTTAAGGACAACACTTAAAGTAAGCAATAAAATATAACCCGTTTAAGGAAGGATTCTATACATTCCATGTACAGTAGACTCTCTAAATAGAAGTTGTATCACAAAGTGAAGGACCAAATAGAGATTTATGTATTCATAAAATGACATGTGATTCATGCCCGAAGAAACGTGGCATCACAGAAGAACAAGCACGGGTTTTAGTGTCGCTTCTGCTGCTCTTTAGATACATGAATTTAGTTAAGTCACTTAATTTTGGTAAGCCAGAGTTTCTTCATTAAAAAAAAATGGCACCAACTCAGCAGATCTCTTGTGACAACTGGAGAATTTAAACACAAGAGATTGCACATAGTAATTGTTTCAACAGGTAGGTGATGCTTGTGTTAATGTTAGTATTTTAACAACTATTGTTTTATTTCAAACAGCTTCACCAAAAATTGACCTTAACAATTAAAAATTAACAACTGTAAAAATGTTGTCTGTAAACTTGTAATTTAGATATTATATACTTAATTAATTACATAAATTCAATACCTCTCTATTGGTCCTTTCCCCCCCTCTACCTACAGACTTTTGACCATAATTTCTGTTTATGGATTCTATGCAGTATCTAGTTACTTTTTTATATGTTTGCATATGTACAAATATAAATACAAAACTATTACTGTAATGTCTTCAAGGTAGAGTTTATGGGATACAACTCTAAAAAGAGTTCCTAGATTAAAAAGCTAGATTAATTAAGACATGATTATGTGTGTGTGTGTGTGTTTGTGTGCGTGTGTTTCACAATATTCATTTAAAATAAATAAAATGCAGGGCCTCTGAAAACATGCTGGAGGGTCAGCTATGATTAGATTGTGGCTCTTCCAAATTCACACAGTTGGTAGTGAAGTGGATTTGAGTCTACGTCTGTCTCAACTGCAAGCCTCTGGTCATTCACATTAAATATCACAATCCCCCTCTCAGACAATCAATTATTTTGGAAAGATAGGAATCAAGATTCTACACTCATCCTCCAATGGTAAGTTACTTTGGAGAGATAAGAACTGAGATTCTATATTCATTCTCCTTCCTCTAGCTCAGTACCAGAGTATTTTATATCAAAAAGTCAAAATTAAATCAGAGTACTATTAATTAAATTTTGTTACATATTTCTATATTTTTAAAATAGTTCATTTAATTAACTATTTCAAAATGGAGATGGACCGCCATCAATTTTTTACAGTATATGCCAGAATCAATTCTAGTTGTCTTCTTCATTAAAAAATACAAAACAAGAGATCACTCTTATTTTTTTTTTAAAGACCAAGTTTTTGGTTTTTTTTTAAACACTCTTATTTTTACAGCAAAAGGGATTACCTCAGTATATTTCACTTCCTGGCATGAAATCTTTGGCTACAGTAATTCATACTTGAAAAATAGCATGTCTTGAATGATTCAATGGACAATCTGAAAACCCTTGCATATTAAAAAGAGAAAATATCATATATTTGAATCTATTTAAGTTTATATTGAACTGGCCAATGAGTTACTGGAAAACAATCATAGAAGTTATGTTTTTAACTTGATATTCACTCATGCCCTTATATTCTTACGCAGATTAGCAATTTGGAATTCTACATCTCTAATGAGAAAACTGTTCTTGTTTCTTACAAAATAATATCTATCCACCCACTTTATTGGAGGTCTTTTCAGGGGCCATTTTAATATGACCAAGGTATTTCAGGTTTTCCATTTAGCTCTTCAATATATGACATTTTAATCTTGTTCCATCAACAAGATTTAGTCTTTATTGGAAAAACTCTCCTATTGTATTGTGGCAGATGTAACTGTCATGTACTGATACCACTACTATGATAGTGTCTGAGTTGATTTAATTAGATTAAAACTACGCAGGCTTATTCAATGTTACGTGTATGCCTTTTTTTCTTCCCTCCTAGCACCCTTGTTTATTAAATAATAATTCTCTCCAGTCATATATATATATATATATATATATATATATATATATATTAAAGATGCTTCCAAATTTCTTAACTGCCTCAATTTCATTCCTACTACAATTCCATTATATGTTAAAATTCTTAATTCCATAAAAGGAAATTAGGAAGACTGTTTATAACCTGATAAAAATACATTTCATTACTTGGAGGATTCAATATAAAAGGAAGGAGAGTTTGCATTTCTAAAGCAGACTCATTTTTGACTTATTTCTAACAGTGAGAAAAAAGAAAATGGTAGCATAAATGAGTCAAAATTTGAAGAGAGAAGTTGACATTTATCAAGACAATCCAATCATAAGACAAGAATAGTCATATTTCTAAAAAAGAAAAAAAAAGCCAAATGAATACATTTTCTAGAGCTTCCTGAAATAGGCTGGATAAAATGCAAGGAAAAAGGGAGTTACTTACTGTTTGGGTCTACATTTTCACAGAGTTCTGTCTTTGCCTCACCGTTGGGTCTGTCACTGGGTTTGTGTGACAGCCGTGATGACATGGTGGCTGCTGTGACTACTGCCTTGAAGCTTCGTTTTCGTTTCTGAACATTTAGTTCAGGGTGGAAAATGATGATGTATACTTTCGGCATGTATAGCATCCCAAGGGCCACAGATGCACTTAGGTTCATGGAGATTGTAAGTGTGGTAGTTTGTATGTAGAGCTAGGAAACACAACACACAAGACACTATTACAAATCAAATGACTGCAAAGGGGTCCAAATACCTAAAATAAAGTTACATACATACACACACACACACACACGCGCGCGCGCTCCACAAGATTTAAAAGGGCAGTTGTTATGTATGGTTGAGTTGAAACTTCTTCATGGCTGACTCTCAAGTGAATTTTCAAAGATGGTAAATTTCACAGGAGGATATTTGCCCATCTTTCTCCTGCAGAATAGCTGGTGTATTTAAACCAAGTGCCTTCAGGTTGGCAGGGCAACTCCTTATCACTAAGCCAAGAGAGATCCCTAAAGGAGGGGAATATTTAGTTGAATAAAAAAATAGCAATATCAAGGGACTTACAATGGAAAAAAAAGAGAAAATAATTACATGCTTATGGAAGAATTTATGAACTTATCCAATTGTATGCCATTGGGATAATCCCTGTGTATGACTGTCTTAGAGATGTCTTCTAAATGGAAGTTCACAATAGACTTCCATTGACTTCTTCTAGTTTGATTTGAAGCTGAACTTGAGGCATGAAGGATTTGGAAGACTGTAATAGCATGCTACATGTTTTACAGCTAGCCAGAAGGTCAACTATTTGAATATACTAGCTGCTGATCAGAATAGATGGGCAAGCTCCTTCCATAAAGATTTACAGCCTCTGAAACATGATGGACCATCACTATTAGGTGATACCAAGAGATTGGCTGACAGTGGGATCTCAAGTAAGAGGTGATTTTCATCCTATTTCCCTAGTTGTTATTATGTGGCATAAAGTGAAAACTGACTGATCATTCAGAAGGTTTGCAGAGGTTATAAATCACATGGGTGGTTATTGCTCATCTTTCACCTACAGACCAGCTGATCAATCTGAATGTCCTGTCTTTGAGGTGGAAGGACAACTCTTTACTTACCAATCCACTAGAGGTAAAACTAACTCTAGGCTTTCTTTCCTCCTTGTTTAGCTATGAGCTGATTTCTTTCTAAGAGTATTTCCCTTGATTTTACTAAGGGATCCTTTATTAGGAGGATGACTAGAAATTCAGGAGTAGGTAAGTGTTTAAGTGTTTAAAAACATATATAAGGAATGGGAAAATCTTGGGTCCTATCTTACAAAGGAAAAGACAATTTGAAGGATTGTTTCTCTTTCAATCGCTTTACTAGTTCCTACATATGAAAATGTAGAGGCCAGCTATTTCACTTGCATGCTTTAATCTTTTGGATAGCCTGATGATTCAGAGGTACATTTGTAGACTTTATTCCCTCAACACTATCATCCGACATTCTCAGATGGATTAATGCACTCTACTATCTTTTTACACAGAAACCTGGGACCTAACTTTAAGTCTTAATGTAAACATATGGCATTCTTTGCATTGTTTCTAACAAGAGTACACCCTCACCATAACCAAGAAAATGAGTATAATTTCTCTAAAATTTAGCCCTTTTTGCTTATTTTATACAAAACATCAATGTAAAAGGACAGGATCTGAGGACACTGGTTTTCCCATTCTTTCTGCACTGACAAAATGCTAGTAGGATGAAAGCTGTCATTCTGACATCCTCTTGTTTATTAGTTTGGATGTAACCCATATTCCTGTTCATATCTCCTTTTGTTTTCTGTAGAAATCAGGTATCTTACATTAAAAGAGTAAGAAAAACCACTTTCTGGCATCCCAGTGTTAAATCACTGCCATAGTTTGAAGTGGTAACCAGAGAGCATCTAGTTCTTCTGGTATTAACTTTGTGGAGGATGATGTTTACCCAATTCATTAGTCCTTTGGAGTAAATATTTCAATGTGTCCTCCTTGATTTTCTTCACCAAAGCTGTACTTTCTACAAGACAGATCTGTTTGTACTTTCGGCAGTCTAGAATATTTAGTACTCTCCTTCAACAACACACTTCAAAGACATTGATTCTTCTGTCATCCTTACTTATTGGCCAATTTCCAGATGCATGGGAGAATACCATGGCTTGAATAAGCTTACCTTAGTTTTTGAACAGATACCCTTGTTTCTTATGACTACGGAAAGGTACTTGACAGGGGATATATCATAGGTGTTAGTTTGAAGGAAATATTGGATGAGATTGCAAGACAATATTAGATGAGAAAGTAAAATGTTCATATTTCAAAATACCTTTCACAATGTTGATAATAAAAGTCCTTTCCTATCTTCAAAGTTTGATGCGGCAAATGAAATATTTTTACTATTGGGCCAATAGAGATTGATCAGTTTTATATTTTTATAAGCTATGAACTAATCTGTTGGATAGGTTCTCAATCAGCATTGTGAAAAAGTAAAGTCACATTGACACAGTTATACACTAGTCTACAAACACTTCACTGCTGACTTGACATTAAGAGAAGCAACAGACAATACTGCCTAATATAGTGTCAGAACATGAATCCTTTAGGTTGAAAGGCATTGAAAATATGACTTGAAGAACTTCCTCGTCAAAGTAGAGTTAGTCCCAACACTGTGGGTAGAATAAAGCTAGAGACTTTTTTTGTGTGTATGTGACATGGCATGACCCGAAATGAAAAGAAACAGCTGCAAACACCCATTCGTAATCAAAGATGGAATGTACTAATTATTAATCTGGGAAAATGAGAAATAAAAGTTGAAATGGATTGGTATTGTTTCTTTTTATTCAGATATTCACCTAGTCTATTATTCTGAGAAAGACAAACTGAAGACAAATAGTATCAGATTAATTGTCAAGAAAGACATTTAAAGATCTATCCTGAAATATAATATAAGGTAGTCAGTTATGGATCTTATCCATATGCCTATAAGGAAGTCCAGTTAGTCTGATCATTATTCAAATAATGCCACCAACTAATGCCAAAGATTAACACCCTCGGTAACAGCAGACAAGAGATCAGAAGATGTATAGCATTGGGCGAGTCCATTATCAGGGACCTCTCCAAAGTATTAAAGAACAATGATATCAGTTTGAAGACCAAGGTATTCCTGACTCAGATCATAATCTTTGAATCACTTGCTACACACCTGAAAGCTGGACAATGCTGAAGGGTTACAGAAGAATAGATTCTTTTTAGCTGTGGTGGAGAAAAATACTGAATATACCATGGACTGCCAAAAGAATGAACAAGTATGTCTTGGAAAAAGTGTAACCAGAGTGCTCCTTGGAGGCAATGATGGTGGAGCTTCACCTCTCACAGTTTGAGGTATGTTGCTGGGAGAGGCTGTTCTTTGAAAAGGGACATCACACTTGGAAATATGGAGGGTCAGTGAGAAAGAATACGACCCTCAATGAGATGGAGTAACATATAGTGAATGGAACAATGGACTCAAGTGTGTCAGAGATGAAGATGACACAGGATAGGACAGGATTCAGGTCTGCTGTTCAGAAGGTCACTATGAATCATATTCAATTCAGGGCATCTAGCAACAACAACAATGCCAAAATGAAGAGATTAAAGACTTATATCAATATTTATAGTCCACAATTGTTCACATCCAAGTACAAGTTGAATCTGAGGAAAAGTAAGGATAGACTTAATGCATTAATCACTAATAACCACATGCCAAGAGCTGTAGCATAACATCAAGCACATCATAAAAAAGAAAAAATAAATCAAAAGGTCAAGGGAAACAAAGACCAAAACATATGTCAGGAGCGACTCTGAAACTTCCTTTTGAACATTAAGTAGTTAAAAAGAAAAGAAGATTATTCAAAATGGGTGACCCTGGAGGACATTGTACTGAATGAGGTATCTCAGTCACAAAAGGACAAATACTGCATGGTGCCACTGTTGTAAAGCAGGACTGACCTCGCTCGGGGTTGGGAGGAGACTGAGAAAGATGGGTTCAATAATGTATATGGCATTGAAACAGATGAGGAAGAAAACTGTTTCAGAGGGAAAATTATTAGGTATTTTTGTCATGACAGGAGTCCAGAGCGAAGGCTGTACAGTGGAGGAGACCGGGGGGAAGGGATTGTAAAACAATAAAAGAATTTTTCTTTTACTTTTCCAAGATGGTAGTGTACTAGAGGGGAAGGTTGGGAGGGGAGAAAAGTGCAACTATGAATGAATGGAAATCCACAGTCTCTGTAAATTTTCATTGAAATTAATAATAAATTTTTAAAAAGGGAAAAAATGATGAAATAAGAGAGCTAATCAGAGATTTCAAAGGGCAAATTGAGAAGGTAAAGCAAAATATTATAATGGGACATGCAAAGACCTGGAGTTAGAAAAAGGGAAGCACAAGTTTAAGACTTCTAAAGCAGAAAGAATGAAAAAAGAAAAAAAGTCCAAGGCTTGAAGAAGGAGCCTATGGTCAAATTTTGAACAATGTAGGAAGCAACAAAACAAGATAGAATGAACATAGGTACCATATTGTATGATTCTGGTACCATATAATAAGAATAAATAGTAGAAATTCAAGCTTCCTTGAGGCAATGGAGACAACAAAACCATTAATGGCATTAATGAAATGCCAATTGAGATGTTTTAGCAAAAGCATGGAATCTTGAGAGTGTTTACTCATTTATGCCAAGATATTTGAAAGATAGCTGTCTGGCCAAGTTATTGGACGATATCCATATATGTGCGTTTTCCAAATAAAATTAATCCAACATAATGCATATGTTGTCAAATAATATCACAAGTAAAAGAGAACTTAAAAAAAACAAAACTAAGAAGAGAATTAAAAATGACTGCAATAGTTTACCAACAAGAACTTGTCAGGATTTCAAATCAGATTTAAAACAAGGCATAGAACAAATGTTATCTTTGCTAATATTACAGAGTGTTTCAGCTGAAAGTAGAAAATATTATAAATAGAATTCTCTGTTGTATTTATCATGAAAAGATATTTGATTGTATGTTGTGGTTTATTGCTTTCAGGTTGGGCACAACTCAGCGACCCTATGAACAAAAGACATGAAGCCCCTAGAGAGGCTTTATAGAATTATCAACATTTATCAAAGAAATAGAATTTTATAGACTTATTGACATTT